CACTTAGAAAATAAAATAAGCCATATTATCAAGAGAACGACTTTGGCTTCTTGAAATTACATTATGCATTTTTTTTCTTTTTTTCAGTTTTAAAGTATTCAGTTTGTTTCATCATTATCTTCACATTGTCCTTCACCTGCCTGTCCACTGTCCTCACTAGTCTGGGAAGTTTGCTCTCTTATGCACTGCAATTCAGCTAGTTGTCCTACCTGTCACTATCTCTAGGTGCAGCTGTTCTATTCCTCTTACCCTTTACCTAAAGAAATTGGCCTTGCTTACTTAGCAGGAACCAGCATTCTGATCATGTCCCCTGGCAATATCCATCCTGAGCTCCTTCAACTGCCTGAGTCATCTTTCTAAGATGCACTCCTGACCCTGCTCTCAAACATGACAGTCTCCCAATTGCTCTGATATAAAGAAACCCTTAATGTTTTCTCAAACTCCTCAAAAATAGATTTTTTTTTCTCCAGGTGGTTTTTTTAATGCATTGATTTGCCTGCTGTTACAGTCATCCTATTCTGCCCCTTTCTGAGCATCTATCTCAAATGCTCCTCCTCCAAGGAACCTTTCATGATTTGCCAACCGGAGATTATCACTTCTTTGACTGCTCCACAGTATTTGTCTGGCTGTTTTGTATGACATCAATCTTACACAACAGTCTATTAATGCTGAATCACATGCATAGTGGTCCCCCTCACATTTGTTTTGTTTTTACTGCACTGTTTATACTTTAAACACAAAGATTTCTATCTATGGATCTCCTCCACTCCTGGAGGAGCCTCAAAAATTTTAAATGAATTCATTCAATGGCCTCAAATTCAGAGACCATCCTACCAATTTTACTCTATGTGTGAGTTTTGCAATTTCATTCTTTTGGGGATTATTCGTATTCTAAGAAACTAGTGTGGTTTGTGGCTTAGAGTCATGGTTTAGGCTACCCTTGGGAAGAATGAAAAACAGCTGGTGTCCAAGGAGCTCTGGAAATTAGCCAATAAACTAATTGTAGAACAGAAGCCAAGAATACAGACGTTTCAATTTCATAATTAAGTTCTCTCTATGCTATTATTTGTGTGAAAACACATTGTTTTAGAACATTGAATCAAATAAGGTATTTTTTTCCCCAAATCATGGACTACATATCCAAAGAAAAAGAATCATAATATGAATATCAGCACCCTTGTGCTCAAATTGTGTTTGTTTTGTTTGGTCAATTATACACTCTCTAACAATGAAACACTTAAGAAAGATCAAACTAATTTTAAGGGATTTTTTTTAGAATTCATTAAAAAATTGTTTTATTTCAGTGTGTGGAATAAAATATGGTGATGAGAAAACTACTAAAATGTTTATAATATCGAAGTTATTGGTATTTATACATATAATAATTCATAGGGATTTCAACTGAATTTGACAAATACTGGGTGCTCACTGTCTATATCCAAGGAATTGTCCAAGTGAACGAGGTACAAAGATGAATAATCACAGAATTAGCACCCTGAAAGCTTAGAATTAGGAAATTAGCAAGAAATGCACAAATAACTGTAAATTAACCTCAAGTGTAAGGACAGAAATACAATATATATGAAGGCTTCTGTAATACAAAAGAAGAAAACCCATGTGATTGTGTAAGAAATATTAAAGGATCCAGCATTCTGACATCCAAACCTGGGAAGGTAGAGTTCTAAATAAAGGAATAAATTAAGGAGGAGACATTAGTGGGAGAAACTGACACAGTAAAAGGCTCAGAGAATTGCAGGTGAAAACAACTACTATGAATCAGGCTGGTACAATTAGCATAAGCTCTTGTCTGAGGCGCTCTTGAGTGACAGTGTTCAGAGAAAAAGGAAAATTTGAATACATGGCAGGTGCCTCAGAGCACAGATGTTTGTGAAGTGGTTTAGCAAAGGGTGTCCTAAGTTTTTAAGGTACATGGCACAGGTTAGAAACCAAGCTAGCTTTCCAGTTGTTCACAATCCAAGTCAATGTTGAACAAGTTAACATAAAGGTAACAGTATCCAAGTAAATTCTTCATTTTTCACTTAGCTTTAGACAATTAAAATCACTTAACAATCACTGCTCTGGCCTCCAAGGTATGGATTATATTATACGCCTCACCAACTTTCTTCATGATGGATTCATATGAAGCATTTCCCTTGGCCACATTACTTAGAGTTCTTCTTTTATGATTTCACTAAAGCAAGCACATTTTTCTGAAGTAATCAATTTCCTCCTACTTCAGGGCCTTTGCTCCTTGCTCTTCAGTCTGCCTGCCCCCAGACCATTCTCAGTGAGCTCTGCCCCGGCAAATCCATTAAAAATACTGCAACCTCACCACAAATCACTTGATTTTTCTTCCTAATCTTATCACCTTCTAACATACTGTGTCATTTATTTATTTTTCTGGTTTGTTGTCTGATTCCCACCCAGGGAACAAGGATATTTGTCCCTGTGATTCCTGAATGTATCCCCAATGCTTGGAATAGTGTGAACATGTAGCAAATACTCAGTAAATATGAAGTGGAGAAATGCATGTGAGAATGAACCATGTGTTGAGTATGTGCATGGATATTTAAGACAGTCCCTATTTGCTTTAGAGTACTCACTGTTCTGAGTACTCCTTCTCATTACTTTTCATGGAATTAGGAAAGATTTATAAATATCTTTTATGTAATCAGCATTGTTTCTGATTCTAACAAACTAAATCACAAGTTCCAGTATTTGAGAAGAAAATAATGAGGAAATGACATACAGAATAGGAATACTATAAGATTTCACATGGCATTTTAAGGGAGGAAACAAAGCCTGGTATTTCCAGAGATGTCCCTCAAGGGGATGTTTACAAGATCTAGTGAATAAAAAGATGCTGCCCGCCCCCAAGAACGTTTGTTGGAATTACACATGCTTAAATTCTCATTCCGGCAATACCATTAATTACCCATATCACCTGGGCTTAGTCATTGCCTTCTCTGGGTCTACATGATTTCATTTGTAAATTGAAGATCGGAATCTTAACCTCACAGGAAGAATGTGAACTATCAAATGAGATCATCTATAGAAATTATCAGTCAAGGCCTGGCACATAGAAGCAATTAAATAAACACATAGGGAGTAAATTAATTCTTGATATATGGGGGAGAGAAATAAATAGAAAAAAAAGTATCTATTTTTCACTTATTTGTACTGCATTATACTACCTACACCTTTACTCATAGTGTTTGCTTGTATTATTGATTCATTGGTTACTATGTGTATTTATTCCTATTTTAAGAGAAGAGAGACTAGATCTCAGACACCTTAAATAACTTGTTCAAGACAAGTTACATATTTCTTTCAAACTCTATAATAATTCAAACTTATTTATTTGTTTTATTCTCCTTGTAGCTCTACATTTACCTCTTGAAAGACTTCTTCTGTATGGGTAACTGTTTCTATTTTTAGATCTTTGTGTTTGTGGTACTGGCCATTGAACCAAGGGCCTCAGGCATGCTAGGTACACTATCTATCACTTTCCCCAGCTCTTCTAGGTCTAGATCTTGAACAGGTTTTCCCTAGGCGCCTTTCATAGAAAACTTTAAAAAAAACATAAAAAATAATGTTTAATTGAACATCTATTTACCTGTGGGCACTGATATAATTACTCCTCAATTCATTTGGTCCTCACAACAACTTTATGAGGCATACACTACTTTTATCCTCATCTCAGAATGATAAAAGTGTTAGAGATAATAGAAATGAAACAGCAAGGTAAGGCATTCATACAGCTTATATTCTAAGATGAAGATTCAAATCCAAGCATCTAGATTTTAGAGTCCATAATCTTAACCATGAGATCATACTGCTCTTCACCCACTAGGAATGATTATATCTTTTCTTTTTTTGATAAAGTCTAAGAAAACACATTTCACAGTCTAAGTTGAACTTCTATGAACTATGACTCTCTTACATTGTTTGGCAAATCTTTATTTTTTCCAGTGACATTGGCATCAACATTGAGTCAAACTCAAAAAGTCTGTTTATACAAAATATATGAACCTAGACTGTGACAGAAATCCCAAATTCTAGTTCAGTACTTATAAAACTGTTCGTAGTACCACGAGCCCATGTCCCCAACCTGGAAATGTCATATGCATGGTCTTCATTGCTTTAAACAGACTCCACATTATGCCCTTAGAAAATGCAGGACTTTAAATCATAACCTTGCATAAGTTCAAAACCCAAAATAAACTTTAATAAGGCTCTTTCCTTTTAATACCAACTTCATTTTTTTTAACTCTCCAAGTAAAATGATTTGAACACAGAGATTCTATTTTTAAGAGAGAGCAGAGAATGTGTACATGGCAAGTTGGAACAGTGTTCAAGTGCACTGGCTTCCCTGCTATCAGAACGACAAAGCCTTAAATCACAAGGAGGAAAAAGTCAGCATGTTCTCTCAGAACACAAATAGATCAACATCAGTAAGAGCTTTGTCCAAGAAAGGGAAGAGACACCGACCCAAGAATAAACCATGCTCATGAAACCTATAATTTCAAGAAATAGTTTCAAGAAATGCTTTAGCTGATAAATATGACTATTAGATACAGAAATCACAGAGAAAGTTCCATGTGATTTATTTTTTTTTTAAAGTAGACCTTCCAAATGTGATCAGTCAACATACCCCACTCTTTGTGTTCCTGATGTGGTTCATCAGTGGTTATGGGACCCACAGAAGAAAAATCCATGTAGATTCTCTTTCTCTCTCTCTCTCTCTCTCTGTCTCTCTCTCTCTCTCTCACACACACACACACACACACACACTCACACACACACACACACATCCTTTAATCCTATGATGGAACAATATTTAACATTATCAGGCACATAAAAATCTTTTCCAAGTTAAAAATATATAAAAAGCCCATTTCCCTCGACATGCAAACGCTCATGATGCCTTTAGGTCCTTCTAACCTCTGAATTAAAGCTTTCCCCTCTTAGAACTCAAAAGAAAAAAGAATTCCTCTTACCATATATTCCATGTTTGCTGCGGGTGGGAACACTTTGCCCCGAACTTGATTATGATAATCAAGAATAGCGATCATGTCATTCTGCGAAATGTAGCGCTTCCGCCTGGCTTTGGGGAGATCCGTAGAATCTAGTGGTGCGCTTAGAGCTGCTTCAATATCAGTGAAATTATTGGTTGGCGGGGATGAGTCAGTGGAATTGAGTAAGATGACGGTACTTGCTTCACAGAGAAGGGAGAACAGGAGCGCATGGCTGACAGCAGAGATTGCTATCATTTTGAGGGGCGGAGAAGAAGAGGCCACCGAGTTTACTTTGCTTAAAAGCAGAAAAGTTAGAGTTAGGGTCTTTGGGGAAAAAAAATAGGGCCAGAGGGTATGAGTTTACAAAGTCATCATTTGGGAGCATTGCTTGATTTGACTGCCTCCAAAAATCCAAATAAATGTTCAACTGAAGGCTAGGAGACCCCTTACTGTAAAATCTCTATTCATTTGGCTGTATTATGAGAAAGACCCCCAAGAGGAACTTTCTAGAGCTAGAGTAAAGTAAACAACATGACCACTAACCCTAAAATGAATGTGAGCCATCTGCCCCAATTGCCAGAACCACAGAATGCATTGGTGCATGTTTATTTCCAGTGGGGAATCTTTAGGAATTAAAATTCACCTTGAAAGTGAAGAGGGGGGAAAAATGCATCACAGGTAACAACAGAGAATGTGCTGATAATGTCTCCCAGGCACATCTGTACACCAAGTGATACAATGCATAACAAAAAAAAGTAATATAGTAATCCAATCTCATATCTTTAAAAAAAAAAGGAAAAATGAGCTACTTTAAAATCAATGCATGCAAGATAAACTTGTCGAGCCAAATAGCTTACCTCTGAACAATGCCAAAATGAATATACTGTTCTTCCAAAAATTTAAAGTTCTTTGCTATGTTGTAGCATGAACTCTTGTAAGAGGAGTATGTCTTATTACAAGCTCCCAGAGAGCAAAAGCCTGCAAGGTTTGAAAGCTGCTGGCTACAGAAGCAGCTGACAGCTTTTATATGTCACAGTTTGCAACGTCCAGAAAGGGCAGTCTTTCTTAGGGTCTCTCTTAGCCAAAATCAAAGGGGAGGGGTTTTGGATAGAAAAAACAGTGATTGGGTGGTGACTTTTTATGTGGGTGGTGAGGAAATTGAGTCACACCCACAGCTTACAAAGTGCAAACCATAAAAGACAAACCTCTTTTCTCTGGGCTTCCACCTTTTCTGTGAGTGGTTAATTTTTCTCATTTAATGTTTTCTAGTTTTTGGTTCCCAAACAAAAAGAAGTAGGAAAAGAAAGAAAGGAGAAAAAAAAAAAAAAAAGACCGTGGGCTCTTGAAAACACAGATGGCTAAGTAACAAGCAGTACATTTTTTAAAGACAGTAAATGACATGGGAGCTGAAAAGAGCAAGCTGATATTAAACCAAGAGATCAGCTCACATAGTTAATCTGGGTGGCCACAAATATGATTCAAGAAGAATGCCAGGCAAATCAGTAGTGGCCAAACTATAGCATATGATATTAGTATAATAGATGCTCAAGCAGTAGTGCTCTGTCTCCATGTGACTTTCTGCCTCTGATCTATATATTTATATTCTCTCTCTCTCTCGTCCTCATTTCACATTCCCTCCCTTTTTACTTTCTCTACAGAGTGAATTCAGCAAATTACTCCCTTTTTACCTGCCTTGTGAAAATGTGAATAGAGAAACTCATGGTGAAAGCCTGAAGCCAAGATAACATCTGTTTCAGGTTTAGAAGCATATAGTTGAAATTTTAAGCAGAGAATAGTTCAGCTTCCCAGGAAGAGTACTGGAGGGCACAGCATAGAGATTGTGAAGAATTTAGCAGCAGCAGCTAAATTCAACAATCAGAAGTGACTTCATAGGAGGAAAACATTGGAGCAAAATAAATATCAGGCAAAGCAAAAACCAAGCATGCAAACATGAGTGTGATCCAGTGAATCAGACATAACTTTCCTATGTTCATATATGAACACATACATATATGCAGTGTAACTGCACATCATGTACAACCACCAAAATGAAAAGTTATATTCCAGGCATGTATGATATATCAAAATATATTCTACTGTCATGTGTCACTAAAAATAACAAATAAAAAAAGAAAGGGCTTTCAAAAATGTAAAGTGTTATGATCTTATTAATAAAACAGGGACCATTTGTGGTCAGTAGCAACAGGTACTCTGGAAAACACACACTGTTCAATATAGGATCTTACTTAGCATAGACTGACTTGTTCAGTCTACAGAAGGGATTGTCTTCTTCATGTTTCAACAGGAGAATTACTATGTGAATTTACAATCAACAGAAACGATGATCGTGTGGCACACTGAACTGTGAGCCAAGTTTTCTAGGATATGTTCCCAGTTGGATCACCAGCAGTATGTGTGGCCTAATGCATACTATTTAACTCTTCATCAGTGCATTTCAAAAAAAAAAAGGGGGGGGGAAAGGTGCATGTTCTATAGTTAGACAGATGTTTATCATGTTTTTTTAAGAAGGCAGTTAGGTGTTTGGAACCAGAAGTTCTCCTGCCATTCAAAATACAGGGTTGGGACACCTACTTCTACAATAATGGTATGTGTTAGATTTTAGGTTTTGCCATATTTTGGTGAGTATTAAGCTCTTAAGTAAAATGAAATCATTTTAGGAGAGTTTAAATTATGATATCAGAAGTTTTAAAACAAGAAATTAATTAGCACCATAGAATCGAAAAGGAAAGAACACACCTAAGCACAGCAGGTGAGGGGGGAAATGTGAAATCTGACAGCAATTGGAAGGAATGCAAAGCTCACAGCTGCAGATGTTTTAACTGGAGCTGTCCAACTAGGGTCTCAGTCCTTCAGACAGTAGTCATTTGAATGCATATCAAGGACGCCATGCTAAAGATTCCTGCATCAGTCAGAAGGTTAAGAGGAGACACTCTCTGCTCTACCACCTCTGGACTTTGGAGAACTTTGAGACAGCCCAAATTATTCTATACTTTGTACATAATTCAGACAGCTGCCCATCATATTGAGAACTAAAGTTTTTTTTTAATGCCCAAACAGCAGGGCACTTTCTTTCTCTGGGGTAACTGAGTTCTTTTTAGAACCTCATAAAAAATCAACCATTACATTCAAGATTACCCTCTTTGTCATAGACACAAAGAGATATTGTCTGCCTTTTGGAATCTGACTCCGGGGACTTCCATAAGGATGAAAATATGATTATTGTGAAATGTGTCCAAACCATACATGGATTTCCTCTAAGAAGGAATGGAAGGATGGATGGGGAGAAAGAGAAAGGATTTTTTTTTAGATGAACTTAAATAGGAGATCACCTCCTTGCATCCAATTACATAAACTCGGAGCTGATAGTTGCTTAATCCTGAGACCCTGAGGCATGTCAATGATTTCAGATGTCTTTCAGCACACATGGATTACACTGTGGAATTTCAGACTATTAAGGAAACCCACACAGCTATGGAATCATAAGAGAAAAGACCTGTGGGAGGAGAGTTAAGAATTCCGTTTCCAAGCAGTCGTTATTGCCAGAAGAAGTATTTGAAATGCTTTGGAAGTAATTTTAATTTTAAAATACTTGCAAAATTAAGAGGCACACATCCAAGTTGTCAGTAACAGAACTATTAATGAACAACTAACAATGAAGTGGTTCTTTATAAGAACTCTTCTTGAAACAGACCACTGGCATAGTTTGAAACCTTTAAAGGACTTCTTGCCAAAAAAGACAGAAATGGAATGCAGTTTATGTTATCGAGAAGAAGGACATATACAATTGGCAGCACCTTGAAATCTGTGAGAAAAATGCTTATGGTTTTAAAATTGAAATCATATACATTATTCGTGTGACACACCTGTTTATGCAGAGTGACTCTGGTGTGTGTGTCTGTATGTTTCTGTATGTGTGTGTATACACATGAATTTATGATTTTTATCTGCATTCTTCCTAATTCACATGTTACATAGAACAGTAGCATTGACTCACTTGGAAGCTTATTAGAAATGCAAAATTTCAGGTACCATGCAGTAACCACTGCATAGGATATTCATTTTATCAGAATTCACAGATGATTCACATGTACTTTAAAGTTTGAGAAGTGTTGTCTATAAATAATTTTGTTTTTAGAAACACAGGCAATACCCACTACACACCTGTTCATTGAATTCTTTTTTCTGTTCCTTTTTTAGTACTGGGGACTGAACCCAAGGACACTCTACCACTGAGCTATATCCCTAGAACTTCTTATTTTTAACTTTGAGAGAGAGCCTTATTAAGTTGCATAGGGCCCTGCTAAGTTGCTGAGGCTTTTGATCCTCCTCCCTCAGCCTTCTTAGTTGCTGAGATTGTGGGCATGCAGTACCATACCAGCTCATTGAATTCAAAATTCTGTTTGTATAGTAATATGAGGAGAGTTAAAGACAATATAGATATATACGGGCATCTACGAAGTAGAGGACATAAGGTGACTTCTATTTCATAAGGAAAAAAAGATGACTCATAAAAAAGTACCCACATAGAGCATCTTACAAAAAAAAATTTAGTAGTAGTCAACACCTTTGTAAATTACTATATAAACTCTAATTAATACATATTGACTTATTACAAGGTTATTGAAACAATGGAAGCTTATAAACTGTGACATGCCATATGAACAGAAGTATAATTTTACTCTGTCTTTCTCCAGACAGAGGCCCAGGTCATCCTTTGTTCCTCATTCTTTCTTACCTTACTTCATGGAAAAAAATGAGGCTTTTTATCTCTGATATTTCTGACTCGGATCTCGTCCATAATCAATAATGCCTTCTGTTGCCTTCTGTGATGGTTGATTCTGGGTGACAGACAGATGGAATTAAGGAATACCCAGATAGCTGGTAAAGCATTTGCTTATTCTCCATCATTGCACTGATTATTCTCAATGCTGCAGTAGACACTAAGCCCATCCTCTTCTAATGAAAGGGAAGCCCAGGTGGTCTGGCATTTGATCGAATGAAAGAGCTTCATGGTGTGTCTGCATGGGTGTTTTCACAGGAGATTGTTATGTGAGTTGGTGGCTGAGTGGGGACGTTCGGCCCTCTGTGTGGGTAGGCACCATCCAATCAGCTGAGGCCCAGATGGAACAAAAAAGCAAAAGAAGAGTGGATTCTTGCTTTCTCTTCCAGAACTATGGTGCTCTTCCTCTTCTGTTCTTGGATATCAGAAGTACGAATTCTTGATGCTGTGGACTCTTGAACTCACACCAGAGGCTCCTCCCCATCCCCAGGCTCTTGGGCCTTCAGCTGTGCACAGAGATAGATTATGGACATCCTTGGTTCTCAGCTCTTCAGACTTACACTGAACCGCTCTTGACTTCCAGGGTTCTCCATCTTGCAGACAGCCTGTTGGGGAGCTCAGCCTCTACAATCAAGTGAGCCAACTCCCCTCATAAATCCCTTTTCATCTATCTCTTTGTCTTTATCCTATGGATCTGTCTCTCAGGAGAACCCTGACTAAAATACCCTCCTGAAAACAAACTGAATCTTTTCACTTGTTTCCATGTAACTCATTCTTGGCTCTCCTTGCCCATAAAATTCAAATTCAAGTGTCTTGACACTATAAACCACTTAACTTTCAGGCTTATTTGCTTGTAACTGCTTCTATTTCTCTACCCCTACCACACCCTATGCCATAACTGCCCTTGGCCATTATCTTTCTCCTGTTAACTTCACCAGGTTCATCAGCCCACTTGGGTTTGTTCATTAGAATCGCCTTCTTGCCTCTGACAATATAATTATTGAAAAGCATTACCTATTTTTTCTATGAAAAGTCTTTAGTAAACAGAAAATGAGATTGTGTTAGTTGTATATGAACTATTTTTTCAAAAAATTTACCTTCTTGTTTAGTTACAAGTCTCAAAGCATCCAAAGTCATTAACAGCTACAAATGTCAGAGTTTGGATAAAATTTTTTCACCAGTCTAAACACTGACAGTCACTAACCAATCAAGG